TTGTGGAAATTAACTGTATGAAACAAACCTGTCGGGAAGGGCAAAAGAAACCTGAATTTACAATCAAATAGAGAACCACACTGCCAAGCCTTCTGTTAGATATAATCAAACGGTTTCTTTGGCAGTTTCTCCTTAAATTTCTATTTGAGTCATTTTTATTTGTGAAAGTGAAAACAAAGTCAAGGTTTTATGATGACAGATACAAATCACAGTGGCATCAAATGCTAGTTCTTAGGCTCCATAAAAGGTCCCTCCGTAAATAATGCAGCAAGGACCACTCACTGTGAACTTGCAGGTGTTCCCAGTGGCCGCTAACTCCTCTGCTAGGAAAATGGCAGTGTCTAAAATGCATTCCATAATGTATTGTCATCATTTAGTTTTCAGTTTCTCCTTTAACAATTGCTGTGATGCCATGCCTTTTCTGTTTTTCCTACTCTCATAAAGATGCCCTAAAAGTGCTTTAAAAATGTACTTTTCATTATAGTAAACAAAATCCTTGCCACATTTCTATACAAGCCCATATTATCCTGGGAGGTCCCCACTGATCTAATTTTTAAAGGATCCTTTCAATTTCACTCCTCCCTGCTAGTTCTCCTTTTCTAGGGTCCTCCTTTCCCCTATCAGAAAGGTGAGGGGTGAGGGTATATATGGAAGCTGAACAGATACATGGAGTTAACTTTTCAGCCTCCATATTTAAAGGCAAAATAGAATCTTTAGAAAAAGAGGAAAACATACCTTCCATTCAGGGGGAATATTTTAAATGCCTTTTATTCAAAGGTACTTTCCCCGCGTCATATTAAAACCATGTATTATGTTATCATGATCATTCTGTCTGGCACTGTCTGCAAACAGCTCACATGAGTCCTGGCTCGAGGGCTCCCAGTGGACCAGGCCAGAGTCCACAGAGTCCAACCAGCTGCCCGTGGCTCCCTTTGTTCTTGGGCTGTTCTTGTCACCACCTCACAGAAATACAAAAATCCGTTCACACGGCTATATTTGACAGATAAAGATTGTAGTTGCTCTCCTAAAGGAATTTGCATTTTAAAGTAATCGAATCTAAAGATAAAAGTGCAAAGTTCAGACAGTTGGATTTCAGAAGTTTCGAGAAATGGGGCCTTTCCAATGCCCCTGATATCACATCTAAGAAAAGATGCCTTTTCTGTTTACATACACTCACTTAACTGCTCTGCTTGAGGTCTTTGTTCAAATACCACCTACTCAGACAAGCCTTTCCTCACTCTTTTTTTGGGGGGAAGGAGGTGGCCCGAGGAGGGGCCCTTTGATGACAGGACTTCATTTTCTCACAGTCTGGAGGCTGCAATCTGAAATGGAGATGTCAGCCGGTCCTGCTGCTCCTGCAGGCTCCTGAGGGAATCTGTCCCAGGCCCTTCTCTCAGCTGCTGTGCCCCAATTCTCTTTGAAAACACACACCACGCATCATCATCCCCATGATAGCTGCCTCCTGTTCCTGTTTTATTTCCTCTTCATAGGTTACTACCCGATTTATTTTAAACCGTTGCTTGTTTATTCCTTATTATTCGGCTAGTCCACCATTAAGATTTCATTAAACATTTGTTAAAATACCAGAAGACAAGGAATGCCCACAGGAGACGCTGAAATGCAGAAGTTTATTGTTCACAGGGGCTGGGAATGTGCAGAGCATGCCCTCAGGGGCTGCCCCAGGTCAAGTTGGCACAGCAGGGGGGGCAGGGCACAGCCTGTATGAGGATCTGTGGGTGGAGCGCTGGGGATCTGCAGATGAAGGCTGGACTGGCCAGAAGGAGTAGGGTTAGGGTCAGCTGCATGATGGTCTTGGCTAAGGAGCACAGAGAGGAAGGCGCTAGAAGGTAGGGGAGACTTACAAGGCTGTCAGAAGAGTTAGATCATGAAGGGACTTGTGCCTCCATAAGCTGCAGCCGGTGCTGATGAGGGTTTAAGGTCCTTGCTATCTGGTTAGCCAAAGAAAATAAATGCCACGGAGAAGCAATATGGACGCCAAACTGGACACCCACTAGCTTCTAAGTTCTGTGAGTGTGAATGTTATTCAGCTAAGTCATAATCAGCTCAACATGGGAACTGACATATACCTCATGGGTTCTCATGTTGCTATTTGCTGAATGAAAAGACAATGAGTGAATGAATGAACAAGCTCCAAGCGTGATACTCACGGAAGTGGAATGAGACTAGACACAGGAAAACGGAGGAAAGACTAGAGTAAGCCCAAGAGGCCACAGCAAGATGGTCTTCGTAAGTATCAAACCAAGAACTGTTGTTGAGGACCAACTGTCTCTAATCCATGACTACAAAAGATGCTAGAGATCCATCCCTGAGGCTCGTGATGTAATTAAAAATATATAATACACTTACAAAGACAGAGTGATAGAAGGTAATAATTCTGTGATTCATGTTACCAAAGGTTCAACTTCACACAAATAGGTATATGTGTAAATATGGGAGAGATTTCTATAATTTTCACAAGTATTAGTAGACAAGGACTTTAAAGCAGACTGGTTCATGGTCTTAAAGGAAAAGATGGTCATAATAAGCATATGCAGAATCTCAGCTGAGAAACACACTTTTTAAAAAAAAGTCATAGGGAAGTCCTAGAACTGAAAATAATGCTGACATATTTTTTAACTATTGGATTGACTTTTGGAGATGGCAGAAGAAAAACATAGTGAACTTGAGGTGAATCAAAAGG